AAGCAGAAAGAAAAGTACTGTCACTTTAGCCCTCTCAGGGTCATCTGTCACTGCTCCCYCTTTCCCACCGAGAATCAAAACTAATATTTCCTCTTGCATATTAATGAAGCACTTAAAGGTTGATTTGTTGTTGCTTTTTACCAGCACAGTGCTCRTATTTTTCTGGCCTTTCTCAATTTGTCCCTGTGTGTTTGTGCTGGGTTTTTTTTTTCATATTTCCTTCTTATTTATTTGACCTAGTTTTGCATGCTGCTTTCTTTTTTGAGGTGATTGGAGAGCTTGTAATTAGGGACCAGCTTGACTCTTGTTGATTAATGACTGAGCCTGGATATCAAGGGAACAAAGCTGGCACTTTAACAGTCACACCAGCTCCTTGCCTTCACCCATATTTACTCTGGAAAGGTCACAGAGCACGGCTGTGTAAAGATGAAGCAGGAAACAAAATTAGCAATAGGCAAATACGGGGTTTTTTTGGTTTTTTAGAATTTTAGTTTATCTGTTCCAGCACTTGTAAAAACAAGGATTGCTGGTGCTCTGACCTCTTGCTTTATGTAAGATTCCTCCTATRCATGTGGGTATCTGCATTGTTGTTTAGATTATTGGTGGTTTCCAAGAAACAACACCTGCCTCTTCCTATGGGACAGTATTTCAGTTGTCCTGAAGGAATCAAAAGCTGCATTTCCAGACTTGGCTGCTCTTTTTTTAATGTTAATTTTTTATCCCATCTTATCACCACCCTTCAATCTTTATTCTGCCTTCATGATTTCATCCACCTCTTTCTTAGAATCAGATCTTGAAGAGCTTTCTAAGTAGTCATTTTCTTTCTTTCTGTCTGAAACTGTATGATACCAGATTTGGAGAATTTGACTTTGAGAGCTCATGTCTCTGCTATCCAGACCCTCTGTTATCAACAACTGTAAGAGTGCATGGATCTATTAATTCCTTCCAAAAAGTCTCCAAAGCCTGCGTTTGGATGATTTGTTTGCTAGTTCCTTACAATTCAAGTTTAAAGATTTTTGTTTTTTAAATCTTTCTCCCTCCCATCATCACTTCTAGGAAAAATACTTGTGCAGGGATGCATGATGGCTGTTGTATGGTGAGGGAAGTCAAAACCAGAGCAATACCTGATCAGTTTTGTGCAAATTGTAGGATTTTTGTCAGTAAGAACAGCTTTTACTTCAACTGTCAAAGGATGTTATTCCAGCATTAAGTACAATTTAAGGTACAAGAGGTATCCTGGAATTAGAGTATGATGGCTAAACCAGAATAAGGCATCTGTAGACACAAATCAGCAGTGCTGTGCTGAAAAGGCAGTTTTCCAATGTTATTAAATAAACATTCAGCATCTTACATATACAACAAAATTAGTGAGGTTGTTGGGGTCTGGAGCAATGTGACATTGAATGACAAGAGAGACACATCTCTGTTTAGCCCTTAACTATTGTAGGAACTTYTGAACTCTAAAACACTGTATGGGCAATAATACAAATAGATTCTAACTGAAGTTTGGTTAAGAACAATATTCCCAAAATGCTTATTGCCAAATGCTGTCGGAATGTCTCATCAGTGCTGATCCAAAATGCCAGCTGTGCCTTCAGCTGTGGAAGCAATCCAATGTCTGACACCATCTAGAAAACTCAAGTTCTTACTTAGCTTAAAAAAATAATTCAGCCTAGATTTGTTAATTTTGTAAAGGGATTAATAAACCTTTCTGCAGCAGGCGTTGAGAGGCCAGAGCCACAGGGCTTGAGTTGTTCTGGCCATGCCCTGCAGCTCCTCTTGCTTTCCTGTTCCCAGAGAGCTCTCAAGCACATGTACTTTAAAGATAACCTTGGGTTAGGCTCGGATTTCATAAGTGATTTGCAATCTGTAAAAACACCACTTCATTCTGTAGTAAAACTCCTTGCTCATAAAAATCCCTCCCRGTTCAGATCCGTTTGTAAGAACAAGGCAAACTCCTACAGGGATATTCTGAGCCACTCCTGCTTTAGAACATGAGCTTTGTATTCATAAATGTTTTAGCGTATTTCCTGCAATAAAGATTAAATTGTCGCTCAGGAAGTAAAGCTGCAACACATGCCTCTGACAACGTAATCAAACTTTATATAGCCATGTTTTTATTGTTTTCCTTTTGTTTTGCTCTTAGATGACTAATTTCTGCCTAAAAGTGACAGCAAGAGTTGCCATTTGAGAGGCCGCTTGGAGCTTTATTTCTATTTTAAGTATATTTAAAGCATATGTRTTCAGAAGTGTCATTATGTAAATCAGTTTTGAAAATTGAACTCCATTAAAAATTACAGKATCATTTTCTGAGCTAATCTGAGGCTGTTTTAATCTCAGCAATTAAAAAATAACCCCACAACCAAACCCCAGGTTTTTGTGAGGAGTGGCACTTCTACCTCTGATGTTGTAATTGCTGTGATAATATGGTAATAAAATACTTTATACTCTTAATGGAGCAAAATGTTTGCTCTTCTTTGATTTGGAAAATCCACTGACATGGTGCATTGCCTGGAAGCAAAAGTTTATAGTGGAGTCCAGTGTAAGGAATGAGACTTTGGCAATGGTGAAAATTGATTCCAGGGTTGGACACTTTTAAGACTTGACTAGACCAAGAAAGGTTGGACCAGATTATGCTTAAGATCCCATTCAGCCTGGTATTCTAGGGAAAGAACTTGATATAAAAAAAAGAGGCCTAACAAGAAAGTTGGGTAATATGTACTTTCATAGCTTAAGGAAGACTCTGTCCATTAAGCAGAGCAGTGGTGGTGGTTTGTTTTTGTGTGTGGTTTTTTGTTTTTGTTTTTAAATACTGCCCTGAGTATTGAAGGGGATTTAAATGTAACTGTGGTGTTCTGGAATTGCTGTAATGTCATGGGGTTTCTTAAGTACTAGCAAGAGGAAACCAAGAAGTTTCTCATTTTACATGGACTTGTTTCATTCACCTGCTTTCAAAAACCAAAAAAGGGCTGAACTTCCTCTGGCAATAGTCTGACAGCTTGGGAGAGTTCACTGGAACAGGGCCTTTGTAGAGTCTGCTGTGACTTGGGTAGGGAGCACTGAAAATGAAGGGACTGGATGTTGTTTCTTTGTAGTTACTGAGATCCTGGGGACTTCTGTTCTCCTCCAAGCTAACAGGAATAAAGGCAAATCTATTACAGTTTCAACTCAGTTTCTTTTGGCAACCTAAGTCATCRCTTTTTTCCAAAGTCCTAGAAGAAGCCATTTAAAAGTACGGTTTCAAGTACCTTTGTCTTAAGTGCAATTTAAYACTCAGTGCAAACACCCACCTACAATTCCTAAGGGCAGATGTTTCCCAAACCTCAGATTACAGTACAAGGTTTAAAAGGTGACTCTTTGGAGCTGGCATTGGCGGAGCAATTGTGCAGGTGATGATGCTTTGGTCTTGACAGAAGGTGGTTCAGTGTGTAAAATACAGGCACCGAATGCCATTTCAGCTCTCTGGACCTCCAGTGGTGCCACAAGAGCTCCCAGATGTGCCCAACATCTGGCTGTAATTCCAAACCCTGGGTTTTGCCATATCTCTCACTTCTGTAAATAGAGTGCTGTAAAGTGTCTTAAAAAGGCACAGACACCTAAGTTTAGAGCTGTGAATTGCTTACTGTAGTGTTTATAGTTTTGGGGTGACACAAGGGAAGGGAATCTGCTTTTAATTTAGTCTGGAGCTCCATACAGGATCTGTGTAAACATTAAAGCATCTGCAGTGTCCAGGATCAGTATTTTCAGGCAAATAAAAAAGCCAAAACCCAGAAGACCCTTCAGCAACCAAAATACCAAAATAAACAAACAAATAAAAAGGCTACAACGTTCCCTTTTAGAACAAAGAGAAACTATGTAGGAATATGCAAACTTGCTAAAAGGCAAAATGTTTCATGGGGAATGTTTGAAGGTACAATGTGCAAAATCTGATGAGTGGTTGTTTCTCTTTTAGGTAAAGAGCTGTCTCACACATTGTGACAAAAAAAACCAGAGTTTTGTAACTAAAAACCCCTTTTTAAACAACAACAGCAAAAAATCCAAACAAAGAAAAGAGAGGGGGGCTGCAGGCTTTGGCAAGTTAAATRTAAAGCAGTAGTAAATTAGGCTAAAAGTGATCTTGAGGAGTAATTGGAAGACATTGAATTTAATAATAGTGATAGTAATGGCTTCAGCCCATCAGAAACAGCCTTCTCAGAAGATCTGTGAGGCTGATAAATGACCAGGACCTGAAGAGCTGTCAAGGAAGATAAAGTAGTTATAGAGAAATAAATGAATTATTTGCATTGGTATTTATTGAAAAGGATGTTGGGGAGGGTCATTGCTGTAACCGTTTATTATGGTGATGGACATAGAAAGCAGAGATAGGAAGGTTTCAAATAGATTTTCTTCTTGATTTGGAATGATTCAGGTTAATTTTTAATCAAGATGATGCTGGAACAGTCTTGTTTTGCATTAATGCAAATTCTTCAGCTAGAATTTATAGGATGAACACAAAATATGATTATTGGAATTCATCTGGGCCTTAGTTTACAACTCTTGAGAACAAAATTGATGCGTATGGRAAATTAATGCAGCATGTGTTTGATCAAAAAGAGAAAAATAGTTGCAAAATAATGTACTTGCTCATGATCTTCAAGGTATATTGTGAATCACAGCTGCWGAGAGCCAGCAGAACTTGCATTAATTACTTGGCTTTGTTCCTTTTCTTTTTCAGTTTTAAACTTTCTTTCCCTAGAATATGCAAATATTAATAGTACTTATGAGAGATTGTGGAAAGAGGTTCCAAATAAGATCCATCCTTTCTGAATTCTCACTGCCTGCTATTTGTTGTGAGTTTCAATTTTGGAACACCTTTTTTTTTAGTGGTTTTATTGCAGCACTAGAAGCAGCCTTTTTTAGACATGAGATGTAGAAAGTTAGCAATGCAAATATGGATTATTCACCTTCCCAGAGAAACTGCATCTTACTGAAAAGCTCTTCCCAACCTTTGTTCTTATCAGGGAGAAAGAACAAGAAACACAAGAAGAGGAACATTTGATGGAAGAAAAGAAAAAGAAAAAGCAGGAAGAAAAGAAAAAGAAGGAAGGTGCTCAGAAAAAGGTTTGTTCATGTTCCTGTTGTAAATGTTCACTTTTCAAATGTTCAAATTTTCACTTTTCAAGGAGTGGCTCCCAGGGCCATTCCTCARCCAGAGTTACCTGGATCAGTCCCAGTGGGTGCTGAAGGGATTTTGGGATCCCAGGCCAGGGTTCATTYTCATTGCTGTGCATTCTCCTGCCTCATTTTCTGGATTTGCACAGTTTTAGTTTTAAATAAGAATTGATCACTGTGTTTTCTGGTGTAAAAATTAGSCATCATTAAAAAATGGGTGGATTCCAGACAGATAAAAAAGAGAGGGGTCTTCTGTGGAAGCTGATGGTGTGGATGGATTCAAAGGGATGTTGGATAAAGTCACAGAAGTTAATTCTGCTGAGTGTTAAAGAGGTCACAGACACTGTTTGGTGGAGGTGCAGAAGGTTTCTGACACCCAGGAGAGGGAAGGCTGGCTGTGTAGATGGAGCTGCTGCCCTACCTGCCCCTTTAACATGTGCTTCTGGCTTCAGTCAGACAGAGGTTGCCATTTTCACATTCCTATCACATGGAGTTAAACTGACATTCTCTAATCCTTGAATGAAATTAATGCCTGATTTATGTAAACAGTTTCTGCAAAAAGTTAGGCCTGCAGCCCTATAATTATTAGGTATAATTTTCAGTATTGACAAACAGTTGATTTGGTTTGTTCTTTTCTTCTTTCAGGCTGCTGAACAAAAAACCAAAGGTAAATTCATGTTTATTCTTTGTGAACCCTTTGATATTTTTATAAGCTTGTTTAAAAAATATGCTTGTAATTTTTATTCTTTGTGTGTGTTTAACGAGGGGAATATATCACACTAGGATTGTTGTGTTTCTGAAGTTTTGTTGGGATTCTCAKCATACGCCTTGGTTTATCTTGCTGGGTATTCTATGGCAGCCTTTTGACAAGAATATATGGATTAATTTTCTGTGAACCATAACACAGCATATGTCATCTCTTTTGTCAAGACAGATGTAGTTTTCCATTTAGTTGTTAGTAGTTATTTATCTGTTTCAAAGACAAGTAATTGCCCCTCTCCCCTTGAACAATTCAACTCAATTTAACGTGTAAACTCAGTTCATTGAGCTTAGGACAAACTATTCTCCCCGCTGCCACCACTGCCTGTTTTTCTTTCTTTTGTGTGGGTTTTCTGTTTGGGAAGTGACTGGAGCTGGTTTGCAGCACGGGCAGGAAGCAGCAGAGGTAAGGAGTKCCTTCCCCTTTGGGGGCAGTGGGCTCCCGGGTTCACTAGGAGAAAAATTAWTGAAGCTGTGGCTTTCAGAAAGGTGAGGAAGAGAGGCAAGGTAAWGTCTCTCTTCTACAACTGAGGCTTACAAATCTTTTTGTCTAGTCTGGCCTTTGATTTGAACAGTTCTGAACCAATTCAAATGCATTGTAATTTATTGGTGGGTAATTAGGTGACAGACAGRCAAGTGGAGCTTCCCAGATTCCCAAAGACTGAGAGAAAAGCCAAGCCTAACATGAGAGGTTGATGAAACAATTCATGATTCAAACATTTGTTACGATTTATACAACAGAAATTCAGTATTGCTTCAGTAATATGAGCTCAGAAAAATAAAGTCCTAACTGCATGATGGAAGATACTGTAACAGTAATTTATTGACACTTTGTCCTTTTCTTTCCAAGTTTATCCAATGTAGAAGGTGAGAGGTAAAAAAGTTTTAGTTAGGATTCTGTTGCATCTACCCTATGAGATTTCATGTAGTCTATATGAGTGGATTTTACTTTCAGGATAAGGGAGCAGAAGAATGTGAGTGCCACCAAAGCTTAGGTACATTAAAATCTTGGGAATTAAGATACATGAGATCAATTTCTATGTAAATGGAATATTTCTGTTTACRCAGTATTGCATGTTTTGTACTCTGTATCAGCTCATTTCTGTGTGAAAAGGTTTCACTGTTCTATAATGGATTATAATGACTTTTTAATATCACAGTTCAGCAGCAGATGTTTTTGCTGTCAGAGTAACTGAATTCATTTTCACGTGTTAATGCAGTGGGCTCTTCATTTCTGTTAGTAGTGAGACACAGAGCCTTCTGCTTTCCCTCTGTGGGATGTTACTATTTYTGTCTTTGTTGTGACAGCTTTGCTTCTAATTGCTTGAAACTGCCACGTTTAAGTTTCTAGTTAATAACTTCAGTTTTTCAGGTATGCTTGTGAGTTTGTTTCTTTCAAATTTAGGGACTGCATTTCTCCATCTGTTGGATTTTTTTTGGTTCACTATCCATGTATTTAAGCATCTTTTAAGCTACTGCCATAAAATATGAACAGGAAAGAAGACAACAGTGAATAAACTAATGTGAGAGATTAAGCAGCTCTGGCATTTATTATTTCGTCTGTCAGAAGCAGAGATGCACCTTTTTGTAGTTTAGCGTTGCTGGAAGGGATGACCTGTCCTACAGAGAGCCCAAACCTCCTGTTCATGCTCAGGCCAAGGGCCAGGGGTTATTTACAGTCCTGTAAATGACCCTTCTTTGAATTTCCTTTGTCTGGCAACTGCTTTTCAGTTTACTCTGTGRAAGTGTTTTATTTCTACTTTATAGTGCAATTTCTTACATTTATCTTTAGGAGGGGGATACATGAGGTTATGACAGGTAGCAGGAATTTCTTAAAATATAGAAAATATTAATGCAAAATTAATGAGAGGAAAAATTTGATTGAACTTTTCCCCTAGAATATTCAAAGTTGACCATAAATTTTATTGCAGTGCTGCACTAAGTGCTTTATTTGGATACATTTTCATTTGGTGAGGGACAAATGCTACTAGAAATAAAAGGCAACACAGGGATTATCATTGAATTTAGTTAATTTATTTCCTATCTGGGACACAGGAATTAAATGAGTTGTGAAGACAGGATGACACAGTAAAACTGAGTGAATGGACTGCAGCGGGTAATGCATGCCAATGGGGGGGATGTATTAAATCAGAGATTAAAACTGACTGGAACTGGGCATTTTGCAAAATGTAGATTTTGGTGGGTGAGATATTTATAAATATGACTTAACGGAGCTGTTTGTGGTAACTTTAAAAGATTGCTTAATTTTATGTGTGGGTCACTGAGTTCTGCAACTGGGTTGCCATGGCAGTGAGAGGTGCTTGCACCAGTTGGGTTCTAGTGGAGAAAAATACATTCTACAAGTGCAGATGGGATCTGGAAGGGTTTTTCAGTTTGTTTTTCAGCTGGCTGGGGCAGTGTGTTTGTACAGCTCCTTGTTTGCTCTCAGCAGTGTTTGTGGAGGAGAAGTCTCTTTGCTGAAGTGGGTGGGGAAGGCCATGTGGTGGGGCTTGAGAGGGAGGCAGGGTTTGCCCTTTGTGTTGGCTTGTTCTGTGCTAGAAACCTCTGATTGAGGTGCTTTCTAATTCTTTTTAATTAACAGTAAGTTTTTCATGGATTTGTCTAATACAAAGATGTGGAGTTRCTGTCCTGGCTAATCATGAACTTGTGTGTTTTGTACGTGTAGCTCTGAGCTGATCTGAGCTGATCTGGGCTGTTGCAGGTTCAGTCGCTGCTGAGGCCTCAGGAAAGAGAAGCGAAGTAAGAGGAAGGAGGTTTCCTGTGGGGGTGTATTTGTGGTGTGTTGTCAGTTCAGTCTCGCTCAGAGGCCTCAGCCCCAGCTGAATGTTTCCATTTGTGATGTGGAGCACAGAACCCTTCCAAAATAAACATGCATTTCACCCTTAGGGAAAGGTATGTGGCTGCTGCTGGAGTCCAGGGCTAGGAAGTGCTCCCTCACACAGCTCTTGCATCCACTGACACAACTTAAATTATTTTTTTTTGTTTAAACAACAACCCAACCCTGTAAGTCTTCTCTACATAACAGCTCCTTCAGTTTCTATTTTCTTTCCTGCAACATTGTTTGCCTGAGTATTTTTGTGAGGCAGAATGTTTTATAAATACMATGTAGCAACAATACTAGGGAATGTGTGAAAGGAAGAAAGATTGGAGAGCTGATAAGGAGCTGAAATGTTTCTCAATTACTTGAAAACAAATGAAAGTAGTCTTCCTGTTCAGTTAGAGAGGAGCACTGTAGAATTAGATGAGGTGGGAAATGAGCAGGTTTTTATTGCACATTCAAGTACTGTTCTTTTATGGTAATTTTTTTGAGAGCAGGACTGTTGAGCACAGGCTATTAGTGTTTATTTTACATATGTAAACTCTTGCCAGTTTATATGCACTTGATCAAGAAACTTTGTGTATAAAGGCTTCTCTAATGAAAACCTTCAGCTGTAACTAGGAGTTCTGTTCTATATGGTAAAGGGTCACTAGTGYGGGAATGGCTGTTATTTAATAACTACAGGGGACTTGTGCTTGCCATAAATACCATCAGGATGTTTTTTTGCTGCCTGCTTCTCTTCCCTCCATCCTCCTGTAGGTTTAGTCAGTGCAGGTGATCAGTTCCTTGGCTGCTTCACTCCCACCTCAACTCAATGCATTTGTCTAAAGCTAAGATAGCTTAAGTGGTTTGTTGCTCAAACATCTGCCATAGTAGTTGAAAGGCAAAGTATCTGTCCAACTCTCCAGCACTATCTSCAATAAAGGTAAGTGTGAAATCTGCAGAGAAGTAAAACCACTTAAATCTGTACCACAATTAGTCTAACATAAAGTGTTTTGGTAAATATTTTGATTAGAAGTGTTAGCTGGAATATATTCTTATCTGCTTACTGTAAAGCAGGGATGGTTAATCTCTGCCTGTTGGACCTCTATAATCATTGTAGGTCTGTCTGGCATGGGACAAGGGAGAGAGAGATGGGCTTTCCAAAGGGAAGATGGAAACTTCAGCTCCCTGCTGGGGGATGATGTGGCAGGATTGCAGTCGCTGGAGTGCGTGCAGCAATCCTGGGATTCAKCAGCCTGTCCAGCACTGCCCATCCTCTGTTCCAGTGGAGCAGAGCATCATTCCCTTCCATCTGTGGTCTGCTGTGGAGCAGTCCCCTCCCCCAGGCTGTCTGGGCTGTGTGCCTTGGGACTCCTCAGCGTGTGATGATTTTAATATGCAACTCGCAGAGTCAGGGAGCTTGTCTGCAGGCTGAGAGATTATTCTGCCAAGGTTTATGCTTTAATACATTTTATTTTGGGGGACTTAACAGAAAACATTTAACAGTGTGTAGCTGCTTGGGAAACCATTGTGRTGTCACAAATGTTGGAAAACTTCCCTCAGGTTATCTGTAAATTTTGCATAGCATTTTTTTATCCCACAAGCAGTGCTGTATATTTTACCTGGAGGAATATGGTCAACTGTATTATTAAGGGGAGTTAAAAGGAAAAAAGGAATGGATGAAAATATCTGAGATCTCATCCCCTGCCCTGGTGTTTTTATTTGGATAACTGAAACAGTAGCATACCTGTTTTCAAAGGTAGATTATTTTCATTCCCAAATCAGCCATTTAGATTGTTGCATATTTTTAAATTGATTTTTACTTACCCTGCCCAAATGGGCTGTTAGAATGTTCTCTGCCCCTGCTCATGTGTGAGAATCACCTTCCTGTAACCTCCATTCTGCTCATGCAGAAATGCAGTTTGTGTATATTGCTAATGTGCTCCTTCTGGCTAGATGTTACTGATGTTTAGTGGTAGTTCCATAAGAAATAAGGGAAAATGAAACTTTATAGAGAATCTCATCAATACTTCAAATAGAATTGTGACAGAGTCTTTAAAAAGTCTTGAGTTTTTCTGATTTGTGTC